AGGTCTCAGAAACTTTGCCAAAATTGCTACATCTCCATTAAGCATTTTGGCTTCAGAATAGAATATTCTGATGGCAAAAATCATCAAAATTCTATCACTCAGCTGTACCGAAGGCACTGCATGAGTGCCCCTTTTCATTGTCCATATTCCAAAAGAAAAAAGAAATAATAAATAACATTGCCACCAGTTGAACTGCGTAGACTCGTGGTCCAATCCTTACTGCTTTAACTTCATTGGTATCATAACAGAATAAAAGTGGGGTAGCAATGGAGAAGCCGGCCCCTCTAGTGCACAGAATGGCATTCAGAACAGCAGAAGCATCTTTTAAAGCAAGCAAATATAGCAAAATCCTTCTGCAAATGCACTAGAATCAGCATCTGGCAGCTTGGCTCAACCCAGAGTATATGTTGGTTGACCAGAGGCAGCAGAAAGAATGCAAATGTTATCTGGGTGGCCACACAAAAATTGTGGCTACACAATACTTTTACAATTTCTCATCAGGCAAATGTTAGATATGCAAAATATATTATTTATTTATGTAGTTTTAAATATTTCCTTATATTTACAAATTGGGCAAAACTGAAAGTTAAAATCACTTAGCTTAGCCATCTGATTCTATCCATTTCAACCTACTGCGGTTGCTTGGGAGCTGTTTTGCTAATCCCCACTTTGTCACTAGAAAGTGTTTTAGCAGGATGAAAACACGATAATTCAACAACATAAAAACAGAACAAGGAGGGTGTGGGGCTGTCAGCAGCAGTCCAATAATAGATAATGAGACTCTGTTACCCAAGCAGAATGTATTATGTAAAGACAATGGCCATGTGGAAGAAATCGTTCTAATCAAGTTAATTATGCTTTATTCATGTTTCATTTATGGTGCAAGTACCCTGTAAATTCAGAGCATCTTAGCTCATTATATTGCCATGCAGCTTTCTAAGTACATGCCTCACTCATGCTTTCTGTAACTGTCTCCGCAACAGTCCATGTTACATGTGTTGCTGTGGGAATGGCACTAGAGTACTAGTAGCATTATGAACTTCTTTTTTTAAGAGTGCTCCCATGAGATTTCCTCTGCTATTTTAAAATTCTCTTTTTCTCTCTGCTTATATTTTAGCAATCCTTATACAGCTGGCAAAGAGGCTGTGACAAGAGGAACATTTCTGTCTATCATGAAAGCAAGCACCAACAGGTTTGTTTGTGTGGATGTCTTTAACTGTATATTTTGTGGGATATTATGATGGTGTTCATCTCCACACCGTCTGAGTTCCTGGAAGTATTTAAGATATGTGGCATTGCTTTTAGAAAGCATGGACATACTCTTTTTCATCTGATTTCCTAAATTGGTAGGTTATTTGTTTTTAAATTCAGAGTTGGATGTCATTCTAACATGAGTGTTTTGGAGAAATACTAGTTTAGGCAAAGTCTTTAGCAAACTTTAACTCTGTCTTTCATTTACCTGTTGAATTTATGTGTACTTATGTGTGGTGTGCCAGGCTGCCTTTTGACAATACCAAAGGGTGTAGTGAATTTTTGGACTCTCTCCTCAACCCCAGGAAAACCAACTCACATGGGGGTGGAAGGGAATAGTGAAGGGGAAGGGAAGTGAGGGGAAGGGAAGAAATGAACTGTTGATGAACTCAACATAGGGCAGCACCATAGGTTGTTATCTCAGTTAAGTATCTAATATTTGGGTTCTTATACAAACTTACCACAAACTTTGACCCTTTCAGGTTTCACCTGCCATTAAGAGTAATGCAAATTTTTCATTATCAGATTAAAATGAAGCTATTTGTGTTTTCGTTTTTATAATAAAGCCTTTTTAATATAAAAATAATTTTACCATTATATTCAAATGTACATGTGGCCATTCTCCATTATTCCAGTTTTGGGTTAAGTCTCTGTTAAATTAATTACCTCACTTACATTGTTTCAACATTCTGTACTGTTGTACAGCCAAGCTGATTGGAAGAATAATAGAAGCATGATAACAGAAGCAATAGAATTCCATATGTTATGACTCCAGATGTATTCTGTTGCCTCTCTCTATATCTGCTTTTTCATAGCATGCAAATAATATGACTCCAGGGAAATATTTTCCTTTATAAGAAATGACCTTGTATTTTCTTAAATACTTCCTCCAAAAATGACAATTGCCTAAGATCCTACAAACAAAGTAGCATGAAGACCTACATATCATTTTGAAGAGACAACATCCAGGAAAACATAACATGCACTTGATGTTTGGGGTCAGATGTTGTTCTACTGTTTGAAATGGCATGGAACCAATTTCCAAAGTATAACTCCATCATGACAATTCATTAATTTATCCTGCATATTTTAAAATATATATATAGTTTGAATAGATGAAGATATTTTGTTTTTGTCCACTAGCACATTAAGATTGCATACAATAAAAATATCCAGACACACACACATATATATCTCTAGATACCGGTGAAGGAAAACAGTGGCAGAAAACATATGATAAGGGCACTACTGTTTGTATATCTTTATTACTGCTTACCCTGAAAGTTCTAAACAATGTTTAAATCAAACTTTCCTTCCATAAAACAAAAGATATATATATAGATATATAGAGAGATATATATATACACATACATACACACACACATACACACACCCAGAGAGAGAGAGAGAGATTATCTAAATTATATAAAATCAGAATATCCAGACACAGAGAGAGAAATTAGATAGATAGATAGATAGATAGATAGATAGATAGATAGATAGATAGATAGATATCCATCTTGAGATCTATATATTGATTATATATGTAGATATATTAGATGTTGATATATAAATATAGATATATGTATGTGTGTGTCTGAATATTCTTATTCTGTCATCTAGATGATATATATGTATGTATGTATGTATGCATATGCGGGTATGTATATATGTGTGTATATATAAGTATATATGTGTGTGTGTATCTTTTGTTTTATGGAGGGCAAGTGTGATCTAAACATTGCTTAGAACTTTCAGGGTAAGCAGTAATAAAAATATACAAACAGTAGTGCCCTCATCATATGTTTTTGCCACTGTTTTCCTTCCTTGATCATCTATTCAACTGCAATAGTGAGGCAGTAGTTGCTGCTCCATCTCTGGACCTCAATGCCATCTACCAAGTAAATGACATAGCTGCTGCTAGGCAGAACAATACACAGATGATTGTGCACTACACATTTGCATCAGGTTATTCTGCATAGTTGACTGCTCCATGTACTCCACAGAAAAAAACTTCATCTCAGGTGCACTGGCACAGCAATAAGCTTCATTATTCCTGCAGTCGGGCGGCACTACTCCAGGTAAATGGAGTAATAAGGTATAAAGAAGACTTTTTGATGGGGACCACAGTAAATAATTTCTCAGGATCAGAACTGAGGGCCTGAGACCTGTAGCTCTGGTTTTATTCTTCTTATTTCTAGTGAATTAGAGGCCTTTCTCCTATGGATGCCATTTACCTGTCTGCATGAGCACTTTACTAGCAAGCAGTTTTTACTTTTTGCATCCTTAAATGAATATTAGATGCCTTTTGCATTCTTCCCTCAACAACCTTGCAGACAAAATGTATAAATGAAATCTTTTATTTGCTATGTAATTTATATATATCATTTGCCCAGAGACAAAGTTGTATTCTAAACTGATGTAAACTATTTCAAAATGTACATAGCTGAACTTTATTTTTGGAGAAATGTGGTTTATATTGTGACCTTTTTCTAAGGAAAAATAGAATGCAGTCTTTGTTACAATGGGCTAGGCATCACAAGGTTCCAGAAGATGAATTGGGAGGTTGTGGGTAAAATTTTCAAAATGGTCTTAATGATTTAGTGGCCAAAATCCCTTTGGAAATCAATGGTATATGGCCTAACTCACTTAGGTGCTTTTGAAAATTTACTCAGTTCCTTTTCTCGAAGTCTCCTCTTAGGAATTACACAGAATATACAGTGGAGCTGCTTTGGACTCACATCATTGTGACTTAGCAACAGAATCCAAGATATTACTAAGGTTTCTCGTTTGGATTCCTGGGATAAGGCCCTGTTCATGCAAAAGAGAATCGTGCTAAGGGACCCAGGCAAGAACTGTTGGAATTGGTGTGGTTCAGTTTGCTGGACTGACATGTAAACCAACTTACAGACCTCTCAGTGACTGGGAAATTAAATCATGCACACATTCCTCTCTAAAACACAGACCTTCCACTAAGAACCAACGTTCGAATCCAAAAGCTTGTGACTGAGATTGTCACCTGGTGTTAATCACCAGAATTTGCTGATGTCAAAGGAATAATGCTGAGGTGAATTGGCTATAAAGCTGGCCCGTGTTTTTTAAAGTAACTCAAATATGTGTTATTAGTTGATGAATTATTGTATGGAGAACTGGGGAAAGAAAGAAAAGTAAAAACAAGAAATTTCATAAATCGGTTTTATTAAATCATGGACAATATAGTTTTGGTCATAATTATCCAATAGTCCAGTGTTATCAACATTCCCATCCCAAGAAATGTTTGTTTTTGGTTGATCAATAATGATTCTAAGACATGCTTATCCACCAAACTGACATGCCAAAATAATCACATGATACTGTATGCCTCTATAAAAGAGGACCTAACACATTTACTTTTACCTTAGCCTCACAATGAGGGGCTTAATAATAGCTCTGACTTTAGGCCTTGTCGGTAAGTATTTTATCTATCTGGATAAGTTTACAGTAGTTTCTTTCATAATATGGCTTCAGAGTCTAATTGTTGTCCTCTGTAAGTATAACCATCTCAAGTTATATAAAAGGAAAGAGATAGTGATAGCAAATTCCCCATTGTCTAGGAGAAGGTATGGAAATCTTAGATACCTTCTTAAGTTAAAATATAAAACTAAGTTTAAAATTTAAATTAGAATTAACTGGAAAGCACTATGCAATATGTATTTTACAGTTAGGGTATAACTTGGGACTATGAAGTACAGTTTATTTTTCTTTTCTTATTCTTGATGTTTTAATTTCACTCTTGCTTTTTCTCTTTCAGGGAGTCAGCCTCTTAATTATCGTAAGTAATTTTCCTATCAGCTAATGTAGATGTAATGACTGCAACTCAAAATAGACTCTGAAATGTATATGGATGTTTAATTTTATTTTACAACTGCTAATTTTCTTCAGAAGTAATACCAAATTGATCTTTGTTATTTGGAATTGTTCATAAAATGTAATAGGTGTACTTGAACGTGTTCATAGGCTCTCTCTAATATTTGTTGGGCATTGTTGCTTTACAGAACCTGTTTTCAGTGAAAGCAAAGTTTATAGATATGATTATGAAAGTGTACTGCTCAGTGGACTCCAAGAGAAAGGACTTGCAAGATCTGGAATAAGAATAAAAAGTAAAGTGGAAATTAGTGGCATTGGGCCAAAACTTTCTCTTATTAGGGTAAGAAAATGTATCCAATTTGAAAGCTAAAATTACCTTCCTACATTACTTTTTCAAGCTTTGGGAAATAATTAAGTTTCATAATATGTTTTGCTTACTCAGGCAGAATGTAACTAACACTATTATTTTTTATGCAGTGCCCTAAATTCTATTTGCACTTTGCCAGGTAATTCTCAGCTCAAGCCAACCTTGGGGTTGAAGGATTTCTTCTGCTTTGTGGCCAGGGAGACAATAGAATGTAATTTCAAATGCACAATAATTTAGAATTGGATCAATTCAATTGTTCCCAAACTGTATAACCTAAGATTATTTAATCAACTGATTTTATAACCAGAAAACAAAAAGCAGTACACATACTACAATAGCCAGATGTCATTCAACATTTGGCATAATTAATTTCTCCTAGCTATTTCTTTAGCTGCAGGGACACAAATGACATTTTATGCTGCACTGAGATTGCATTCCTTTGCTACATGCTGACATTAAAATTTCTGAGTAATTACTAAGATTTCTGATTATATGGAAACCATTTTTGCCTTGAATGTAAGCCTGTATGTGCTTCTAATGAATGTATTGGAATATACCTCTCTATCACTGCAGACTCCACTTAATTTTATGTGTGTGGAAGAAAACTGATCTCTTTAAAAGCTTTCACTTAGCAAATTGAAAATTATGGATAGAGAAGATTAATCGCTGTGTCCTAATAAGTTTCTAAAAAGTACAATAGCTCTACAACCAGAAGTAGCCAAGTACTATTATGTATTATAAGAGAAAATGAAAATTTAGTTCAGCATTTTTTTCCATGCAACAAGCTTCCTGAAATCTCAGGAAAAAAAATCCACCCTATATTGTGATGAAGGCAAGCTCTGTCCAGGTTTCTTTGCAAAACAGAAATAGGGCGCATCTACACCTGGCCATATGGTGCCTTTGTGACTGCACTGTCATTTAGTCCTTCCCTTTGGAAATACTAAAAGATGGTGCAGTAACAGCCCATTCTGCGCTCTGCTGGCCGCACACAGTTATTTTTAGCCGCTACATCAAGGCAGCGCATTGCTACGACGACGTAACGGCAACGTCACAGTTTTTACCAATGGACCCTATGGTGCTGTAGTGCATCGCTGCAAAGCCATAGCATCTTGTGCAGAGGTTCCCATAGAAGAAAAGAAAGATCCACTCAAGAGTTAGCAATAGCATCTCACTCATGTAGCCTATAAGAGAACCAAGATCAAGTCTCTGCTTTTCCATTCTTCCACAAAGAGGACAATTATTACTGTCATGGGACTGGTCAATCTCTCTCGCCACGGTTTTATCCAGAAAATTCATCCTGGACCTAAGAAACTTTTTTCCAAAGAAAGTTTAATCAAAACTGAAATATTCTTGAAAAAGATAAGGAAAAAGTAGAGGTTTTGAATATTGCAGTTACTGACCAAAAACAAAAAATTAAAAATGTCTCTTTACATATGTAGTGAGGCATTCATTTCGATTGTAGGAAAAGTTTACTTTTTCTCCCATGACAATTACGTGACATGGTTTGGGGAGAAGGAATAACTGAAGGAATTAATCTTTAACCTTAAAGCCACTGCTTCATATCTGGTTTAAGTCAAAATTAGTGATCTAAGTGTTTTCATCATCACTAAACAATATAAATACCATTTCTTTTGGCACTGTCATCACAGACAATGTATTGAATGGATCCTGGAGACTGAGCTAACACTGCCCTAAAATGACCACCTAGATTTGGTAGAAGCACACTTAAATGACAGTGTTGAAAGCTTCTACTGACACAGCCCACTCTGGAGATTACAGTCACCAGGGTTGTCAATGACTTCCATTAAAAAAACAAGGAAAAGGGTCTTTAAAAAAATGAAGTCCAATGGCTACCCAACCACGCACAACAAGGAAAAGAGCTGTTCAAAATCCCTGAGCTTATAGTAGTACTGATGCTGAGCTTTCTCTCCTGGTACCACCAGGAGTTTGGACAGCCCCTGGGTGAGACTAGAATGTGAAGTAGGGAACAGGGTTTCTTACATCCCCATACTAATTATGTTTATATGGTTCACCTAGCAACCATGTTGTTATTAGCTTCAAACTTCAGCTATGTTGTGTGACCCCAATGGCAGAGATCATAGAGTGCATGCCAAGAGTTAATAGTGCCCCTGAGATTTGCAGTTTTGAGGGAATATTCCTGCTTTGTGCTGCTCTTCTTTGGCATATTTCTAGGTGCAAGCCACCTTGGATAAAAAAAAAGTCTAGTCTATGTGGAAACATCCTGTTTAGCTACTTTTTACTTCTGCATATCCCTATCATGGCTTCTGTAAAGTATTGCTCGATTCTCTTAAATGCTTCTTTCTCTCAATCTTTCTCTCTCTCTCTCTTATATACGTACATGCCTATTAGTACTAACAATGTTAATGATAAAGTGAAACCTTAGTTTTATCATTTAAAAGGCTTTCCTTCATTAAAAAGTGGTGCCCAATAAAGAGACAGGCATACTTATTTACATAGTTTAGCTATATGCATTCAAAAAAAGTTAATGAAACATTATTTAAGTGAACATACTTCCACCTTTCTCCCTTATTTCATAGATTCATTCATTGGAAGCAGCAGAGTACAATGGTGTCTGGCCCAGAGCTACATTCACTCGGTCATCTAAACTGACCCAGGTTCTTTCTGGACAAGTGAGCTTCCCCATCAAATTTGAATACAGCAATGGCCATGTTGGGAATCTCCTGGCTCCAGATGCCATCTCAGAGGATGGTCTTAATATTTACAGAGGTATTCTCAATGTGCTGGAACTCACCATGAAGAAGACACAGATCACATATAACTTACAGGAGGTGAGCACTTTGCTTTTTGTTTTGTTTGGAGTGTAATTTAATTAAGCATGCACTTCCGGCTCTTTCAGTGCATTTATTTGAATTCAGTATTGATAGAATATTTAATAATAAGCTATGTCTAGACTTGGAGGTAAGTTGTTCAGCTATTCTTTCTGTGCCTTCAGTAATGTTGCAGTATCTAAATGGTTCCATGAAATGGATAGATTTTTAATCTACTTGATCAGCTGATTTCAGTAATGCATTTGTGATATTGTAACCTACAGAAACCAGGTTTTTGGCTCCAGCAAAAGGAAACTACTCTGAAAGCTGAGCCTACATAAAATCTGACTAATACATTAAAATAAGATTAAACTCTCAGCATATTAGTAAGACTACAGCTAGAAATAACAGCAATTTGACTTTTCTAAAACATTATATATATATTAATCCCTTTTAACCCCTTTTAGGGGGAGTACAATATTATGTTGTGATATTATAATGGCATTGACAGCTACAGTTGACATTCTGTTGGAATTTCCACTATTGTCCAGGGTTTGATACTTTAGTCATGTTAAATCACCTGACATTACAATCCACCACACAAATTGAAATGTATATAATTTTGCAAAAAATATAGTTACATTGATTAGTCTGGTCTTGGTGAAGAGATCAGTAAAAAGCTTGAAATCATTGTGCTTTCACATTATTTTTATTGCAAATCCAAACCAAAACCACTTTAATTTAGACAATTGAATATTTAATATGATTAGGGTTAAGTCTGGAAAGGAGCTTCAGAACCTAGTGCTTTCCCAGTATTTGTTCCATGTGAGACACCCTCTTAAGACACTGTGGCTGAAGTATATCCAGTACCTAGTTTCTTCTCCTCATCTTGTTTTTAATTCAGTTGCTTATCCTTCAGAGCTCTATTGTTGAGTTGCACATGTAAATTTAACTCTTTTAATCTTCTTTGACCTTTGGCACCTTTACCTGACAGTCTCAAAGTATTTTACAAATGAACGCCAGGATTAGTTTCAAAACACAGACCTGTGGGAAAATGAAGCATGACCTTGAGTGTTTACACTCTGCACACTGCAGTGAAGTCAATAAGAGTTTGGGCTGTATGAGCACTGCAGAAGCAGGCATTACACAACCTGCCAGACGTGACTCAATGGGAGTTCTTTCCAAGTGACATCTGCTGGGTGAGGGTTTACACAGTGAAATTAAGTTTTAATTATACAATGGTTGTGCATACCTCATCTTGCTGTAATCTAACTAGCACCTGTAAGAATAGCAGTGAGGACGTGGTAGCATGGGGTAGAAACCAAAGTACAAGTTTTCCAGGACCCATGGCTATGTACAAGTCCAAATGGAGCAATTATACAATATCCCCTATATCCCTCACAGAAGAGAAAAAGACAGGAAAATAACCCTTCTTCCAAATGCATTTATGTATCATCCTTTATCACTATTAGATGTTCTAATCACAGACTAAAGAGAACTAATATCCCTTACAAGTATAGAAGCTTTAAACATTATTAAAAGACTTCAATTAAAGCTGTAATGCAAGAAAATCCACAGTTAAAACTCCTCAAGTCTTAAGTGATTTTTAATTATTGCTTCTCATATTGTATGTCAAGATCATTTGCTATTGCAGTCTCTAATGGAAGAACGTGTGAGCTATAGGTTAGGTATGATGGGAATTTTAAGAGCTAAATATCTACCACAGTTCTGAAACTCCTTGCTTTTAAAGTTTAACTCTTACTGATCAAATTATTTCAAATTATTCATAATCCTGGATAATGTCTCATAGCCAATAGGTTCTAACTGGAAATTTCTACAGACCTCCCACTGGGCCAAAATATTGTTTCACTGAAGTCCATGGGCATTCAGTCAGAGCTTTCAATGGGACCTGGATTCAGGCCTTTGAAGAATATAAAAGGGGGGGTGGGGAGAAGCACGAAATAAAGATAATCAGGTCTTTACCTCCTGATTATACTGTAGTAGGAAAATAGTAAATACTTCTGAAAGGAATCTCGGTATATGCAGCTGATAAAACTAGTATACACAAGCCCATGCTAGGTGTTCAGCAATCCTGCTGAAAGAAAAGCATTCTCTGAAAGCTGTTCAATTCTCATTTTTTGGCAGGCTGGAATTTCAGGTGTCTGTAACACTACCTATGTGATTCAAGAAAATAAGCGGGCAAATCAAGTCTATGTGACCAAATCCAAGGACCTAAACAGCTGCAATGAAAAAGCTCAAATGACTACTGGTTCTGCATACACGTATCCATGCAAGACCTGCAAAGAAGTAAGATAGATTTATGTGTAAACAAGTAGTGGGACTACACAGACTGATTTTGCATTGGTGGTTCCTGACTTAAATCCCAATGAGTACAGGGGATCCAGGGTGGTTATAATGATATTTGCTCTCTACGTGTAATTCATATACATATATTGAACACAAGGCCTCTGTATCAGCCAAGTCCCCTTTGAAATTTTAAGGTAAGGGTGCATAAACCTTGTACTAGCTGCTCAGAGAGAAATTTTGGTCTTGTAGAAGGAGACCACCTCCTTTGTTTAGGGAAGAAACAATTGCAGTAGAATTTCTTATTGGTATGAGCAATGGGACAGGGCTGTACAGTTGAGCTCTATCTTGTAAAATTGTCATGCTGAACAAATGAGTCACAGTGCATGATATACAAAGTATTATTTCATCACAGAACTTAAATTACTTTGTGCTTCTTTTGTCACTGTTCCATTCTGAAGAGTAACAGACATTCCCGGGCTACTGCTACTTATAGTTACAAAATCAAATCTACCCAAGATGAAGCTATAATTGTAGAAGCGGATGTTCAGGAACTCCATCAGTTCACACCATTCAATGAGATAACTGGAGGAGATGCTGTTGTAGAAGCAAGGTACTGTAGACTGATCCAAAATTTTGTATTGCTTCAATTCACTAATTCCACCTCTAAATAATCTGGTCAAATTCCCTAAATTAAACTAATCCACTGTGCTGACTATACACCTTGCCAATATTTCATTATATAAAGCCTCAAACAGGTCATAAAACACAATCTTCAGTGATAACCATAAATTTGAAACATACATGTGCATTCCTATCCAGATTTTCTTAGCTAAAGTTGGCGGTGTTTGACTAGTTTAATTCCCAGGGGTATTTGATTTATGTCTTAAGGGCCAAAACAAATATATTTTCATATGAAAAAATTGAAAACTAATATCTTTTCAGTAAACTACTCTGTGACACACTCACTGAAAGGGAGATCTCTGGAAAGCAGTAATGCTAAAAGGGACTCAGGAGGATAGTGCATAGGAAACTTTGTATAGGAGCTTGATATTGATATGCTATCTGACCTGCTATGGGCTGGTTGAAAACTTTTCCACAAACTTTGATAAAAAATGAGTTTTTAATGGTTTTTCTTGTGTGTGTGTGACAGAGAGAGAGAGAAAAGTGTTTGTGTTCCATGGATAATTTTGTATTTCCATCAAAAACGTTATAGCCAAAACCCAAAACTGTTTGGCTAACAACTTAAACCTTCTGATTTTCAGTCCAACCCTGCTGAAGTTTCAATAGTTTATTGAAACCAACTTTGTTTTAATTTTTTTTTTAATCTTCCACAGGAAAAATTTATGAGGATCTTTATTTATGGGCTTTAGATGCAGAGGGGATTGGGTTTTCAGTCTTGCTGAAGTCAATGGGAGTGTTATTATTGTTTTACCATTTAATTACACTGTTCATATTCATTTGCTGAGATGTGTGGAATACAACATTTTCCCACCTCCTCCCAGTATATCAAAGATCCTTATGAAACCCTGATGGAAACAGTCTGTGGAAATGTTTTAGAAGATCTCTATAGAGATTCCAAAAGTAAGCCTGCCAATTTTCAATGGAGACTTTAAGATACTCTTGTGTATGATTCTGTTTCTATTGACTTGTTCTCAGATGTCCAATGCAAATACCTAACTTTATTGTATTGTCTGGTAAGCCTCATTTTAACTGTAATCAACAAGCTATCTTTGTCTGCAAGCACAACCAATAGAACATTTTTACAAAGACACTCTTCTGTTGAAATTTTTCTTGATAATGAAGAGTGAAGGTTTGGTTCAGTTTGAAAAGTACTTAAAGCCTTAGATACTTTTCTGAATTATGCCAATTTTTTCTGAATCTTTGCTCCACAGGAATCAGGTTGGAAATCTCATGACAACACATTATCTTACAAAATTCCCTGGGACATTAGACTTAGAGATGTCTCAGGAAAATAGAAAGACTGAATTGTTTCTTGTTGTATTTGAATATTGTCAATTCCATGCAAAAGGAGGAAGCTTAGAGATGTGTAAGAACATTTCTGAACCTTTTAAAAAGGTCCAAATTCAGCAATGCATTCTTATGACAGCTACCATCAATTATTGCTGTCTGACACGATGGGATAATACACATCTCCCGTTCAACTTCCATCCTTCACCTTCTGCCCCTGTTTCCCTTAACCAAGTAGCCTCATGTACCTACATCCCAAAGGCTGGGATGTAGCAGCATCTTATCTACATGAGATGCTGACTGCACAGTTGTTACTGCATAGATGGTTTAGTACTAAAGTATTATGCACAAGTACTAAATGATTTTGCAGTAACTGAAGTTACAGCACGGTAGTGTTGCCAAACAGCTTTCAGGTGGTGCAGACTGCGCAGTAGCTACTACCGAGCAGTAGTGTCTCATTATGCTTCGTGCCCCGCAGTGCTACTGCACAATAACAACGAGGTACTGTGCAGTCAGTGTCTCATATAGATGTTGCCGAAGGGGAGAAAAGTCTGAATCTGATCCTAACCAGTTCTGAGTAACGCATACATTTATGAATCCCTTAGTATCTTGATAGAGTATTTTTTGTAGCTATATTGTTATATTAAATGCAGGAGAAGCATATCCGCTGCCCCTCTTTTGTTTTATTTTTCATTATGCATCTTGTGATGTTATTTCACTGGGGTTCTTTATTGCAGACAAAAACTCATTTTGAGTGATGTGCAAAAACGCTCCTCAGAAATCCCATCAAAAGACTTCCGGAAACGAGGCTTACTTCGATACCACTTTGGCAGTGAATTGCTCCAACTTCCTGTCCACTTATTCAAAATAAAAAATGTGGAAAGTCAGGTAAAGTTTAACCACTAAAATGTACTATTTTGCTGTAAGTCATTGTCATTACTGTGTATGGAAGAACTGGAGCATATTTGATTTTGCTGTGTACTTTAATTTTTATGTAGATTGTAGAAACCCTGCAGTCTCTGGTAGACCACATCCATGAACAGGTTCCCAGTGATGCACCACTGATGTTCCTAAAGCTTGTACAACTTTTCCGTGCAGCAAGTTATGAGATTTATGAGTCAGTTTGGAAGCAGTTTTCCAGTTGGCCGGCATACAGGTAATGATATAGTGACTTTAATTCTCAACAGTGGGATTGAAGAATATCTGAAATGAATGTGTTCAGATGCAATTCTGGAAAATGATGGTTGCCTTTCCTGTTATAGGCGTTGGATTTTGGACATAATTCCTGCAGTTGCTGATCATACCGCAATCAAGTTCTTAAGGTATAAAATTGAAAGGCAAGAACTCACCGAGTTGGAAGCAGCTCAGGCAGTGCTTATGGGCCTGCATTTAACTACACCAACCCGTGATGTGGTGGAGGAAGCTGGGGTAGGATACATTAAAAACTCTCAGATCTTTCTTTACCAGTTCTAGCATCTGTTGTATTTATTCCTTTGCCAAGATTGCAAAGGCTTTGAAAACACAAAGCTGTTATATACTCAACAAGGCTGAAAGGAGATTATTTCCTGACTGCCTTGAAAGTTGGAAACTGCAAATCACAGGCTCAAAAACAAAGCCAAAATGAAACAACAAACTGTAGAACACTCCTAAATGGTCTAAATCTTGGCTGCATTGATTTCTGGTATTCTTTTGTCCTGGTGAACAGTTACAGATTAGTTACAGCAGATTAGATCTTTCACTCAGGGTGTGAACAGAGGTACAATTACATTGGTTTTAAGGTAGTAGGATTTACTGCTCAAAGGCATATCAACCGATCCAGAATAACTGTTTAATTTGTTTACTTGTAATCTGAAGTAAGTGAAGTTAAACTACAGTAATTTATCCCTGACTGAAACAGGTATAAAATTACTGTAGTTAAGTTTCACTTATTGCAGGTTAGGAGCAGACCTGCAAACAGTTACACAGGATTCAGCTGCACCTTCATAAGTCCTGCCCCACACATTATTTTAGATTTGCCTCAGTGTCCATGCACTGAGAAACTCTACAAAGAGCAGATAGCAAGGCCAGTGTAAAAACGTAGGAAATGGACTTGATGGCCTAGTAGGACCCTTCCTGCTCTGTTTCTATGAATTATGCTAGTGTGAAACTGGTGAAAGAAAAGTAGAACCATTATACAATTTTTTACTTATTATGTGGATTCAACTCTGCTCTTAGAGGTACGTATATATCTCCTCCATTATATATATAACCTCTGCAGCATGTCCAAGACTGCTTCTGGAAGTGAAACCTGCCCACATGCACCTGGGTCCTGAGCCATTTATGCTGCTTAATTTGCCAAATGTCACAGTATCAATCCAGAATCTATATAAATATAACTTAACAGTACAATTTTTTCTTGTAACACTCCTGGCATATGTTACAGTTATGAAGCAATTAATCTATTAATTGCACTGGAAATAGTAACAGTGTTACACATTCAGCCAATTTATGGCACCAAAAAGTATCAAACCAGCTGCAAAGATATTTCACAAAATATGTGGCACATCTTTGTTGCTAGTTTGTATGGTGCCATAAATTGGATGTGTAGCACCCCAATGTGATGCTGACAGCATCAGCAATGGAGGGAGGCAGCAATGGGGATACTGGTGTAACAACTGGGATAGCCCTAGACCTGATGCCAAAAATTGGATGCCAGGAGAGCTGGTTGCAAGGTTCCCTAAGTGGTAAAGCCAAAGAACTCCAGCTACTGAGAACCTGGCAATCACTGAACACAACAGCCTTTTTCTGCCTTGACCTGCAGCCCCGGCACGCCTCGACTGTGGAAAGCCAAGCTGAATCTGATGGTTTTTAAACCCAAAGCTTACCAATCCTGGGGTTGTGAAAGCCAAATGTGCAGCTGAACTGTCCTGGTGCTGGGCCAACAATCAGCTGATTGTTGGACCTGGCCCTGACTGCCCCAGGTCATGAACCAGAACTGGGACTGTTGAGCTGTGTACCTGGTCCTGGGTCTGGGACAGGGCTGCCCCCTGCTCAGTCTTCAAGATCGGATTGGGAGCAGCTCAGAAGTGGTGCCATTGGGATCAGAGAAATTGTATGTCTCATTTGAAACATTGCACCTCCTGCAATGCATGTGTACAATGACAGGAAGTGCAATGTTTGGTAATTCCTCAAACTGCAAACTGCACCATTGTTTTAACATTTGCCCGGAGCCTAAGAAAGTCAGTGGAGCTCAGGTACAGAGCAAAAGGCAGTAGGTTGAAGTCTCAGGTCAGCATTTTGTGTCATGTGAAGAATTCCTTCTGTCTATAGTACGAGGATCTAGTTAGAATGAATCTTAGTTCTTTTGTTCTTTCTTTTTCCCTTTAGCTGAGCTATTAAAAGAGAAAAAGGGCACCCATGGCTTTGTGAATTTTATGAGCCCTTCAGGTTTTATTAATAGCAAAAGTTCACCTTTCCTAATGAAGTGATTTTTTCATCCTTTAGACAGTAATGGGAGCGTACAACCCATTTTTTTAAGGTATTCTTATTAAAATAACAAACCTCACCCGAAAAGTCTCTGAATTTTATTAGGGTCATCATACTACAGCAGACCTATCTTTTCAGGGAATCTCAGTTGCTATGCATTTGTCCTGTCTTGAATTCACATTTGTTTAAAATATGCTGGAAGGCATTTTTTTCTTTCTTGGTTGCTAATGGTGGTAATTATGAAATGTTTTCTCCATAGCTCATTCTGAAAAAAGTGCATCCACGCTCAGGTACTTTACTTCACAAAATTTCCTATCTTACCTATGGATCATTGGTTCGCAAGTACTGCATTGTCTCAGAATCCTGCTCTGGGCCAGCTCTCCAGGTACACAGCCTGAATGTCTTTTATTTATCTTTTAAGAGAAAAAATAACATTTAACGCTTACTTTGTATTTATAAATCTGTATGATACTTCACTTCAGTGTTTCCTTTGGACAAAGAAATCACAGCTAGTTAAACACAGGATTTCCTTTTTGGAGTAAGAGAGGAGAAAGGCTAGGGAAAGTCCTTAATTCTTGATGCCTTCATGGCCTCATGACTATCTCAGAATCCTTTATAACCTTTTATTAGTTAAGTCCCCTCATACTCCTCTGAGGTATTTACAAATATAAGCACTTATTAGATGTTAAAACTAAGGAATATGAAGATGATGACATCCTTGCCCTATTTACTCAGTGATTCACCTATAAAGCAAGGACTGTGTCATCTATGCAGACTGTTAGATTACCCTGATTACCTTGGCCATGTACACCCACGTGCATTACTGTGGAGTAGATTAAATAGCTGCAGAGTAAATCATCAATGTCAACATGTGCAAAGGTATTAGGCCACAGTAAACTAATTAACACCACTGTAAAACAGTACTATCACTGACAGTACTATTTTACAGCGGAGTAATTAATTGTAATTAAATGCACATATAGACTCTAACCCTGGGCATAAATTGTGCCTGGTCAGTGCAGGCAGCAAAGGGCCAGACTCCTGCCTGCTGCCTAACCATACAGCTCCACACTTTCAGCATCCTCATACCCCAGCCAGCCCTAATGCCACCTGATTCCCCCCTCCCCACCCCCCATAGCCCAAGGCAGAGAAGGGCAAGAGCAGGCCCAGTTGTAAACTGCTCTGCCCCAGCTCAAATTGCTGGTGTCCTGGGCACCCATGTAGACACTGCATTCAGGAGTAGTTTACGCTGGCTCAAAGTGCTCTGTAGTTTATTGCTTCAAATTAATTGCATGTGTAGACCCACTGACAGTAATGTTTAATTTTTATATCGTATTTTCATCATTACATCCTCAAAGCACTTTACATGGGTGCTAAGTAGCATTGTCTTTCTTTTAGAGTAAGAAAAACTGAAGGGAACATAAAGGAAAAGTGATTCATTCAGAGCCTTGTGGCAAGCAAGTGACAGGTTTGGGAACAGAGCCTAGGTGCCCTGAGTCCACTGCTACTTGGTCACATTTGTACCACTGACCGTACCAGGCATGGTGATGGTAAATACTAGGCCCGTGTGAAGCAGCAAGTATTCACTTTGGATTTGGATTCAGACTGTTTGGAGGGACAGTGATTCAACTAATTGATTCGAATCACTGTCCCAATTCGATTTGGCTGATTCAGTTTCGAAGATTCAGTGCTGATTCAGAGATTCAGCCATAGATGATAATGGGGAATACCTATAACTAAAATACCTATAACTTTGTCATTTTTTGAAGATTCAGATGAAAACAGCAGGGATGGTAGCCCCTTCTGAGGGCATGAAGCCTGCCAAGTTTCAATGAGATAGGTGCAGGTGTTTCTGTGAAAGTGCACCTCAAACTGTTGAAAGAAAAACTCATATCACTTGTGTGTGTTAAGGGAGAGCGGGATGAAAACAGCAGGGATGGTAGCCCCTAATGTAGGCATGAGGCCTTCCAGGTTTCAGGCAGAGTAGTGCAGAGGTTTCTGTGAAAGTGCACCTCAGGTTTCTGAAAGCAAATTAAAAATGCAAATAGGTGTGGAGTGAGGAGGGTGGCACTCACTCCATCTGAACATGGAGCTTGGGGAACCTGAGCAGCGGGAGGTTCACCTTCAGGAACAGCAGCTGCTCCACCAAACCAGGATCCAAGGAGGTGTGGTGGGGTGTTTGCTGCAACTCTTCTGAATCTCCTATCTCTCTGAATCGATTTGGAATGAGTCTCCTGATTCGATTCAGATTTGGAGATTTGGCTGCTGAATTGGGCCAAATCTCCTCCAAATCGAATCAGCTACTGAAGCTTCCTACAGCCCTAGTAAATACCTCTGTGCTGCTCTGAGTTCTACCTTTGAACCAGAAGTATTATACCTGTGTTTGTATGGCAGAGCTGATTGGCCCATCTGCAACACCGTATTAAGGTAACTACATTACTTTTAATTCAGAAGGTAGTGCCAGAGGAGAGCAGCACGATATGTTTCAGCATGATACCACCTGGCACAGTAAATTAATAGTAGATACTTGCCAACTGATTCCTCAGCCACATGGCCTCCCAAATGATTAAGGCAAATGTTTCTGAGGAAGGTGGGAGATTTTTAAATCAAAGCAAATGATCATACAGTGCCTCTCAACATGTTTGAAATGTTGGGTTTGACTCAGTTTCATCCTGTGTACCTGTAAGTTCTTAAATGCATCAATGGATCACAAATGTGGTAGCTTAAAAACAAGAAGTGGTCTTTTATCCCACTTGATCTATAAAAAACAATCTATGATATTTTGCCTATTTTTAGAACCCTTACTTACGCATTGAGAAGAGTTTTGTACTATTCAAGAGAACTAGCCTGATTCTGGCCACACATTTAAAAACTAAGTGTTCTTATCCACAAATCCTTATTCTATCCCATGAATAAAATGTTTCAGGATCTGGTTGCTTTCCAAGAAATGATGTAAAATGGCCTGGCCGCCAGGTTGTTATTTCCTACTATGAAAGTCACCATTACAGTCACCATTACAGCAACGTTCCCTCTAAGGCCGGGGTGTCCAACCTTTTTGAATGTGGGGCCAGATCATGAACTTTTTATCACCCAGTGGGCCAGCGAGCCATATTCAAAGACCTCACAGGAAGTGGTATCACATCACCCCCATGAAACGAAAGTACAGTGTTTACTTTCGTTTCCCATTGTACCACCTCAGGCCTCAGAAAACAGCTTGGAGGGCCACATGGCGGCCCACAGGCCATATGTTGGACAAGCCTGCTCTAAGGTGTAGTGATCTGTGAGTGCACTGCTTCAGTCCATGAGCACACCACTTCAGTCCTTCCTCCCCCTTTCAGCATGCGCTGCCTCAGAAACCACAAGTGCCTGAGGGGCACCCTGCATAGACCCCCATAAGGTCAGGGACCCTGGGGCTGTAGTAGAGGGTGAGCAGCCTTGTCTAGGGTCAGGGACCCCAGGGGACTGGGATGGATGGATGGATGGAGAGGAGCCTTGCCTGGGCCAGGGACCCCAGGGGACTGAGATGACATGTGGAACAGGGCCAGGGGTCTGGAGCCCAAAGGGGCTCGAGGACACGTTGGGAGGTGAAGCATTGAACTCAAAATATTCTAGAACTCCAGGCTGCCAGAATAAGAATTGGAGTTAGCTAAGCTATTACAAGGTAATGTATTTATGGGGAACTGCAGTTATTTCACATTGAAAAGCTATCAGTCATGTAAGATTCTTTCAAGAGCTGTTACAGAAGTCAGTAGGAGTTTCCACACTACCAAAGATGGGAACCCCAAGTCCTATCTCAGGGGTGGGCAAAATATGGCCCACAGGCCAAATCCAACCTGCCAGGCAAATTAATCCAGCCCATAGGCAGGCACCCAATTAATTGCATCTGGTGTTCCCTACAGCTGCCCCTGCTACACTCCACATGGGGCCAAACCCAGCCCATTCCCCCTGGGACAGTGTGCACACACCCACCAGCAGGAGGGCCCCGGCCCCAGCCAGTGTGCACAGCTTCTGGGCAGGGCAGCCACCAGTGCTGCAGGCTGCAGCCAGTGTCTGTGCCAGCCCCCAGCCCCCAGCCCCCGCTTCGCTTCACCTCACCTCTCCTTGCCTTGGGGAGCGAGGAGGCTGGGGAGTGGAGCAGTTCCCTGGTGCCAGCCCCAGCTCCTGTCCTCACCTCACCTTGGGCTTACTTGTAAGTGTCCTGCACTGGCCCCAGTGCCTCCGCTGTGCTCTGCACCCAGCTCCTCTCTGGGTGGGTGTGCAGCATTAATAAGTTAGTGCATGGTGAGATTTTAAATTGTGTGCAGTTGCACACATGCACACCTTGGAGAGAACCCTGCTTCTAAGTGATGCCCTTACTAGCTATATCATTAGATAGATCACTGATTAATGAACCTCAAGAATAGTCTGTCTTTATGCGTCTAGGAATGGTCCATAAATTGGCAGAAAGAGATTTTCAAATACACAACATCTAGATTCCAAATTCTCATTGAAAGTCAACGAGAGTTAGCCTGTGCCTGACTTTCACACCTTCATAAATTTCACCCATTGTGTTTAAGGTGTATTGATGAGGAAGAGTTGGGAGCTGTTCATCACTGCTGCCTATGTTGCATTTGTTCCATGAATAAATTGCAAATATCAGTCTCCAGAGGTAAAAATCTAGCTTATTTAGGGAATACTAAAGGTACTTGAAAATATTTTAAACATAAATCAAGCCTCAAGCAACAGTGAAAGTGGGGATAAGGGGTTATGAGGAAAAGAATGACGCAGCAGCTAAAAGTAACTTGTTTAAAAAAACCTTTTATTTTCCAGCCACTTCATGACCTTGCAGCAGAAGCAGCCAGCAGGTCCAATGAAGAAGAAATTATTCTGGCTCTGAAGGCCATTGGGAATGTGGGACATCCAGCCAGTTTAAAGCGCATCATGAAATTTATGCCAGGTTACGCAACTAGTGCCACTGACCTCCCACTTAGGGTCCAAATGAATGCTGTGCTGGCCCTAAGAAACTTAGCCATAAATGAAACAAGACGGGTAAGGAAACAAAGGCACCTTTGTTTTGCATGTGCTGTAATAAGTGGAGTATGTTCCTTTTATCTGTTGCTGGGCAAAGGTAGCATTTCATATAAGCGAATAGCAGATTTTCTTTAAACCCTTCAATTATTATGCTGGTGCCTCTGATTTCTTTTGACATTCATCTACAGTGTTTCAGAATGCTGGAGAAACCTGAGTATGAGAATCCCTTCATTAGTCTGTTGTTGAGGTTTTGTCAGCATTGTAAACTCATATTTTCCAAGGACATAAGAGAGAAAAAATATAAGCTATATTTAGTGCTATTTTAACTTGGCTGTGTGAGAGAACGTACAAGGAAACAGCAGCTCACACTGCATATGATATATGGGCAAGGTTTGAGGAGTGGTGGATGGTGCCATAGTATCTTCAGAATTAAAAAAAAGACTGTTTTGGAGTTTCTGAGCAATATTGGGGTTGGGAACCCCCCATCCCACCTACCCCCACCCCACCCACAGCCTCCTGGAGCCCAGCAATCCTTCTATGACCCAGACAGTTACTAAGTTACATTATCTGTGTGTATTTGAAAAACCTGATCTAGAGCATTCCTAAAGTCTGTTACTGGGATTTTCACCATTCAGGAAACAGCTTAATTCCCAGGTTTGTGGCATATAGCACACCCACATTTTCATTAATTACTCCTGCAATGTGTCATTTTATTGCTCAGTTTTGAAATAGTTACTTACATTTAGAAACTACTGCATCCTTCTCTCCAGTTTCATCTTGACATTTACTAATGCACATAATTGAAATAGCATCATGTTAGTTAGGTTTGATCCACAGTTCTGTAAATTCTTCTGGATCAGGGCCTTACATTACACAGCATGGATGCAATGTACAGGCTAGACCATACTGGTCATGATAAAAATGTGCAATATGTTGCATAAAATGAGGCTGCAACTTGATCACTGTCTAAATGTACCTACATGGGATAGTGATTTCATATAGCTGACTGTTCATTAATTTAGCTGAAAAAGACATAATGGTAGTGTGGAAATGATGTAGCTGTATCCTAATGAGATCATGTGGTAGGAAGTTGAAATTTGACAAATTCAAACTGGACATAAGGCAGAAATGTTAAGTGAGAATATTTATTGGAATGCTTTAACTTGGGTTGTTCTTCAGGTGAAGGTTTTGATTAAAGACAATGCCTTTTCAAGAGATTTGCTATTTTCTCAATGAGACGTCAAGTGTTTGATTTAGAAATTATCAGGTGAAGTGGTATTTTCCTGAGTTACGAGGAAGGTCAGACTACAGTGTTCATAATGGTTCCTTCCAGCATTAAATTCCATGAAACTATGAATACATGTGACTTGTTACAATTAAATAAAAAAATAACATTGGATATTTCTTTCTAAAACAAGTGCTGTATTTTACTAGTGAGAAAGGAAAGAAAAACTAAACTATCATCAATGAAAGTTGAAACATACAGTGGCTTACCATTTATCAACTATTTTCAGATCCAAGAAATTACCCTTGACGTTTTCCTGAATTGCAAAATCCATCCTCAAGTCCGAATGGTAGCTGCAGTGGTTCTGTTTGAAACCAAACCAAGTCTTCCGGTATTGACGACTTTAGCCAATGCAATGCTAGAGGAACCGAGCATGCAAGTGGCAAGTTTCATCTATTCTTACCTGAGGGTACTGGGTAGAAGCACAGCTCCAGATCTCCAAGTAATGTAAGGGGATTACACACTTTTAATTTAAAAGAGGAATTTGATGCAACCTGTAATTGAGATGTTAATACAGTACAATTCATTAAATCTTACAGGGCTTCTGCCTGTAGAATGGTTATCAGAATACTAAGTCCCAAACTTGACAGACCTGGCTATAGGTTCAGCAGAATTTTCCACTTCAGTATGTTCAGAGGTAAGGCTCCATTTTCTTCACCTGATGTTTCTTGACTTTGCAAGAAAATGCGGATGGGCTCAAGAGAAAAATCATGCAAACTATGGGACCAGTTCTACCCAGATATTACTGAATAGCTTGTTCATTGCATGATGTACCTACAAATTCTTCCCTCCCTAGAGAAAAATACTTTATCTAAAGTATCTTTCTTTAAAGGTTTAGATTCCTGCACATTTCACATTGTATTTCATCAAGGCAACACAGTTTATAGTGTTAAGTATTGGACAAAGCAGGCATAGGCCAAATTTCCAAACTATTGTTAGATACCAAACTAAAATTGGGTACCAAACCTGACATTTAGGCAGTGGCCTGATGTCTAAAACACCTAAGAATCTATGACATTCATTAAATCCAACTGTTCCTATGAATGCTCAGCCCTTGCCCATCTTAAATATCCAAGTTTGAAATTATGTATCAAACCATTACTAGGATGTTTGTTTTCCCTTATGAAATATTAATTTCAATAGACATTCTTGGCTTTTTTTTGCAACTTGATACTCATAATTTTCCACGACAATGCAGTAGATTCTGCACCAAAAGTGAATGATATACCACTTCTATCAACTGAAGTTGCACATATTCAAGGACAGGGTATAGCCATTAGTGGTAGGAGTGAGCCAAAGAAGATCACTACTTCTTGCTTGCAAAGATAGATTACAGTTATTTCCATTCAAATTATCTTTTAGAATAGAAATTAAGTGCTCCCTTATTATGTTGACCATGGCATATAACCATCAGGTTGGGCAGATTATATCTAATCACATGTCCTTATGTATGTAGCTTATCCAGGAGAACTCTTGAATGCTTGAGTGCTTTTGTAATTCATCAATATATTTAGAGCTATTTTTTAAATGAGCAGTAGAAAATGTGTCCTTGAAATACTGTAAGCCTGCGGTGCTAAATGCAGATGTACATTTTTTGCAATACCTTAGTAAACCTTGTTATAGCTTTGCCTCCATTTCATGGATTTTACATGACCATTTAATCTGCTGTACAATAAAAATAAGTATAGTACATACCACTGTGACCACAGTAATATATGATACACATGCTTGCTACCTCAGAGAGGCAGACAGAGAGTGCCTGAAGAAATACAATCATTAATATGTTCTGTGTGAACTTTTTTACCTTTTAAAATGCATTCAGGGAGAGATACCTTTTCCAGTAATAAGCAGATACATGTTTCCAGTTTTAGGCACACGTTTCCTTCTTTTATTCTTGCCTTTAAAATAAATCAGTTTGAGCACGAGCAGTAACTGTGGGGGTAGTGAGAAGGGGCGCTCTTGTTTTTTCTGGTTGTGGCCAAGGATTGTAGCAAATCAGTGATTGTTACTGTTTTATTGATTAAGACAAGTGTTAGGAGTTGGTGAGAGAGAGAATTTAATGTGCAAACTTTTCAATTCTGGAGACTTCAAGGCCCGATTCTTTTTTCTCACATGCTAATTTTTCATTTGGAAAACTCAGTTGGTTACATGGAATCAGTCCTCTATTGCACTGATGTAGGAGGAAACTACTAGGTCACATGTGAAATGTGTATTTAGTGACTTCATCCTAGAGGTGTTACCATAGTGACTACAATAATACAGTGTCTATTATTATGCTAAGAGCAGAAGTATGCTCTTGGTATTGCAGATGCTTAAGGTGGTAAATGCTTAGTTTTTAATGACAACCGCTGCATATGATTTGAAAATAACTCTCTGACCCAAATTCTTCCCAACATGGAATGGTACCTTCAGCCCCTGAGTAGTGCCACTAAAATCAAAAGGAGGGCTTACTGTGTAAAGTGTCACTCCAGATATGCACAAGGGGTAGAATTTGGCTCTTCATGCACTAGAATTTTTGCAGCATTGTGCCAGAAAATACATATATTCATATTTTTTTAATTTCATTTTTGAATGTTGCTTTTTGTCATCCCTGATTTTTCTGTCAGTCTCTCAGTCTTCTTTGGAAGATGACATCCAGTCAGATACAAGCAGGTGTTGTCACATCTCTCCAGATATAATAGCTGCAGTGCATCATCTGACAGTGTCAACATGATTTTTTTCCATTAGTAGATATTTTCTGTGCAGACTGAAGGAATCTAAGTTAGTAGCATACACTGCTGGTGAATGAATAACTATGTTCTCTTCAAGTTAATATATTTTGTGCAATCATATAATCATTTATAAGCAATGCTTCTTATTAAGTGTCAGTAGCTGCATCTACACAAGACACTGACTGCGCAGTAGCTCATTACAGCTGTGCAGTCAGCATCACCAAAAAGCCATTCAGGAACACTACTGTGCAGTAACACCAGTTACTGTGGAATCAGTTAGTGCTTGTGTATGCAAGTACTAAATGACTGCACTGTAACTGCACAGTCAATGTCTCAGGTAGACACAGACAGTAAATACAATATTCATTTCAACTACAAGGATTCAGAATGTAGAAAACATGCTCCTATAAAAAAATGGCTAAATCTATCGTGTCCTACCCTTATGGGTGGGCAAGTTAGAGAATAAAGCCCACCACTGCTAAGCTAAAGGAGTTCTTTCTTTAATTTACATGGTGAAGATCCATTCTTCTGTTTTGAAAGTCTTGTTTTCTGCCATATTGGAGTCACTATTAAAATCATAGCCATCTAGCCTTTAACTATTAGATTTCTACATTGCGTGATGGGGCTGCATCATATGAGCCAATGAACATTAAACACCTGCTTACATTGTTTTGAGATACTTTTTGGAGTTAAAGATACAGCATAGTCAAACAACACATAATAGGTAAAGGGAATTGGACAAAAAATATTTTAATATTCCTTTTCATTTAGCAGTATGTTTGGCATGTCCTAAATGTGCACTGTGATTTTAAAATACATAGGATAGAAATGAAATTAGTCCTAAGGAGTTACATGTGAAAACCAGAGAAAATTACATGGTATTCAGTAACAATACAGTATGATGAGTCTATGCAATAGCAGGGTGAACACCTGTGTTGGAATAAATGAGTTTAAGGAGGAGGAAGGTGATGACTGGTTTTCAAGTGGCAGGCTGTCTCAAAAGTAGTGGGGGCTCACAGACGGCATAGGTGCTGATCTGTTGCATATTTGTAAACCAGAGGATACTTCTCTCTGATCCTTACATTTTAGCTAATTTTTTCATGGAATTTAAGTATAGTCCTTTCCTTGAAGTTAATGGGAAATGAGAGGCTAATTTCTATACATAACTTTAAAAAAATAATTTCCTAATACTTTTAATTCACTTTTGCCTGAGCATCCTCCAAAGCAATGCAGTTAGTTTGCGGGTGCAATTTTTATGTAATCAGTCCCTAAAACCAGTTGTCTACCATGTGGAGAATAACTCTGATGTAAAGATAATTCTCCAGGGACAGATATCTCATGTAGAGGGGAAGTCTACATGAGATGCCTTACTGCAGTGGACTGTTCTACTGTGCATTAGCACATTCGGGCAAAAAACATACTAATGCACAGTAGAATTAATCTAGTGCACATTAAGCATCACAAAAAAAAGTTTGCCTTTGCTACTGCACATTGGCATAGCTGCTGAGACTTTATTTAGTATTTCATATTAGAGGTACTAAACTAAATGCGCAATAGCAAGGATGCATTAATGAACATGTAGACGTGCCATTCAGCCTCCTTGCATCTGGATTAGTAATGGCAGAGGGAGTTAGGGGAGGAATTATGGCAGAGATGACCAAGTGCCTATGTTGATTCCAAATTGTGATTTTAATTTTGTTGTTATTGAAACCCAGGTTTCTTAGAGAAATGTGCAGGTTGTTCTAATAGGCTAGGGACAGACATTACACATAAACTGGTTTAAGTGATCAGAAACTGGTTTAAACCTGTAACAGCAGATGTTCAGTGCACATAAACCAGTTTGAAAATAGCTGAAACAGGTTTGAGATAAACTTGGTTGAATGTAGTATCAGACTGAACTAATTTGACTTAAACCAGTTCATGCAATGTCTGTCCCAGACCCTTTGCTGGTTTAAGCTAAATCATACTCCTCCAGCATCCCAGCATGCCTCTGGGCTGGGCTCTCTGCCCCACAGCAGGGCTGGCTTCTCCCCTCTGCTCCCTGGCTGCAGCTCCAGCAGAGACTTGCAGGCACAGCATGTCTGCTGGCTTCCCCGTGCCCCCTCCCCACCCTCACCACTAGCTGCTTAAGCAAAGATCCCTTCCTGCTCTCTCCCACATCACAGACTGTAGCCAGCATGTGGTATGCTAGCTAATGCTGTGTAAGGCAGATAAGACAGTGTCCACTTAGGGCTTTTTGGAGGTAATCAACAGCTCAGATTCCTGCAGTCGCTGCATTCCTTCCTTTGGAAAAAGCTGTTTAAGAAGAGCTTGTTATGAGCAAGGCTTTGTTTTCTGATGGGGTGTTAAATGCTGAGTGATAACAGAGCTTATGAATGCTCTGTCCTGCCAGGGCCTGGCCATGCCTCCCTCAGATCAGCCCTTCAAAAGGGAAGGGAGGGCTGCTGTATTGCCCCCCGGTTTCTAGCCTGAGCCACTGCAGGCATGTGCCTGCATTTCTCACATGTCTGTCTGGTTACAAAATGGATTTAGCCTAGCCAGGTTAGACTAACCTGCAAAGATTGAATCAATTCAGGCTTTTTGAATGTTTGTCCCTAGCCATACAGCTCAGGGAAAGTAGACTGCACATAACTGTCCCACTTTGGTACACCACCATCTAATTGTTACTCTGAACATTTGCTGTATACAAGGGCTCATTTAATTGTGTATGACAAATCTAAAGAACAGGAGATCTATATAAATTATGTTTGCTCAGTGTTTACTTGATAGGTAACAATTACTGAGTAATCAGTGTCACTTCATGGAAAGAGTTGCAGCATTTATAACTAGATGTGTTAAACTGCCTTAGAACAATTTCGAGACAAATCTACACCTCACCATCTGTCCTTGTAGGATAACTATCTCACGTTCCTAAACTTGGAATGTCAGGATGGCAAATCTGTTTCAAATCCCTATCCCCTTTGTCAAGTTGCACCGAATGATGTCTTGTAAACTGATCTCATAAACTGATAGTACAAAATCTGACCCTATGTAAATGATATGGCATAAGCAATTGGGAATATAGCATAGCTGCTCTGCAATGAGCCAGGGAGATGTAATTTTGTCCATTAATAGTTCAAATATATAGAACATTCTGTTTGTGACAGTTTTATACTATCACTTTTATGGCTGAATTTTCTGGCCCTTTTCATATCATGCTGCATCAGTCGTGTTATGAAATTAGCAAATTAACACAATCTGCACTTTGTGTTTTTAAAAACTGAGCTTGTGTTTTATTGTATGTGTTCTTTACTCTTTAGAATCTCTTATGACTGGATTGGCAGCCAAATATTTGGTCATGAACAATGCAGGCAGCATTTTCCCATCAATGGCAATGTCCACATTTAAGGCACATTTCCTTGGACACATTGCTGACCCCTTTGAGGTAAATGAACATTTTCATAATTTGTCTCTGATTAGCTTCACTTATTCCCCCCAATCCTATCTGCATTTATATTTCACTTCTCCTCACAGGTGGGAATGAGAGCTGAAAGAGTGCAGGAAATATTAGCAAAAAGAAGTTTCCAGGGAGGTTCTGCCAGTCCATATGATTTGAAAGAAATCCTGAGAGCGGTAAGTTCTTAGGGAGCTAAAATCACTTAAAGATTAATTCTACTAATGCTTTCAACAGTCTAACGAACTTCCTATTCTCTTCCAGCTCTCTGATTGGAAGGCATTGCCCAGTGATAAACCATTTGCATCAGGCTACATAAAAATGTTTGGACAAGAATTCCTGTATGGTGCACTTGATAAGAACACCATCAATAACATATTTCAGGTACCCTTTGATAGCACCATCAGACAACAATCAAACAGCTTAAAATGTTGTTTCTCTTTTTCTTTGTTTTTTTGACTTCACATCCATGAGAATTTTTGCTTTCAGACTTTGATCCTGTACAATAAGTTAAAATTTGATCAACAGTAGTTATTATCACTGATCACTCTCTCCCAGAGTATAGTTCATGACACAAACCAGGATTTCCAAATTCTATTCTCTAATTGCAGGCATGGTATGGACCAGAAGGAAAAAATCCCTCTATAAGGAAACTCATAAATAATCTTCAAAGTGGTGTTGGAAGCCAGTGGTCCAAAGCTTTATTGTCTGCTGAAGTCCGTCATATTGTTCCTACCTGTACTGGATTCCCAATGGAGACAAGCTTGTATCATGCCTCTGTCACTAATATTGCAGGAAATGGTAAAGCATATTGAAAAATGTGTACTGTGTACAGTGTGATTGCAAAGTATTTTTAACACAGGTTAATTTGCTTCATTTTCATTATAATAGTTCAAGCACAGATTACACCCACCCCAAGGTCAGATGTTAAAATATCAAGCTTAATGAATGCCAACATTAAACTAAGATCCAAGCTGGCCATAAGGTAAATATTTATCATAAAGCAAAATGATCATGTTTCCAAGTGACTCAAGCTGGTTGTAAATATTCATCAGCTGTTTACTATATGTATGTAATTTCACCATGCTGTTCTAATTTTTCAGCATGGCCAAGGACATGATCTTCGTAATGGGGATTAATACACGCTCGGTCCAGGCTGGATTAGAAGCACATGCCAAAGTGAATGTAAATCTCCCTCTGAATGTTGCTGCTACCATAAACATTAAGGAAAAAAGCTTCAAATTTGAAATCCCACCTGTCAACCAGGACACTGATGTAATTACTCTAAGGTAGGCTGTATCATTTATTATCTTCCTCTGTAGCAGCACCAAATCTTTAAAAACGAAACATTTCATCTTTTTAGGGATCACCCCTGTGGCTATAATAGTTTGGCTGACTGGCAGTGTTTGGCCTAGTTTACTTAATAGAAAGTGAAAGTCTTGAATCAAAGTTATGCTTAAATAAATGCCACTTGTCTGTAGCGGTCTTCATTTGCTTTTCTCTTTCAAGCCACTTTAAGGCCCTTGAGGCTCACAAGAAGTTTATAACATATATTGCATTAAATATTGTGTGTGTGTGTGTGTGTGTGTGTGTGCGCGCATGCGCGCGCGTGTGTTTGCATTTGAAAGCACCAGGTTAGATTTAAACCACGTGAGTCTCATCAATTATAATGGGAAACTTCCTTATACACACATTCAGTACTTTAAAATTGAACAAGTTCTGGCATTTCTTGTTGCGTTTTTATCTGAATTTCCTATGGTTGGCATTTGATCTTCTTGCCTGTTAGGTCTACTTGATTTACTATCATTGCCTGCAACTGCAATACACTCTGGAAAACTATTGTAGCCAGATGCCAAACAAAAGAAAACAGATGGAAATACAAGCACAAAGAGAGGGAAGGAAAAGAAAAGAGTATGTCCAAGGAATCAAAGCAGTAGACCAAGGCTTAGAAAATCTTCACAGCACAAAAACATACTGAGAAAGCCAAGATGAAAATTCATTACAAAAGAAAAAATACCACCAGCAACAAAAATCAGCTATTATTCAATCCCCAGAAATGTTAACAAGTTTCTGTTCTAGGAATATAGCAACCACAAAAGAACTCAGTCCTTGATCCAGCTGAAATTAGCATTCATGGCTGCTGGCCCATGCAAGCTCTGTAGGCCTTTTCAGTTTAGCAGCTGTGGAAACTAATCATTATTCTTCCTAAAATCCCCTCTCTCTTTACTAGTTGCAAACTGTCTTATTAGGCATTCCCTCTTCCCCTCCAAAGATGACTCCTTTACTCTGTGAAACATGATTGTAATCAAGCTCTCCAAAATGACTGGAATTTGAACAGGCCCAGGAACTCTTCAAGATGTCTAAACAGAGGAGGATGATCCATAATTCACAAAGTATTAATTCAAAGGAGTCATGGTCCAGTGCTGTTGATTTATTCTTGCATGGACCACAGGACTTTTCCTGAAGTCAGACAAGAGGGGATGTTCATGCCAGTCATTGTCATTACCTCCCAGTGTTGGAGAAATCAGGTGGAAAATAATGAAACAAATAATAATAGTCAACATAAATATTAAAGCTGAGCAATTACATTGTGTTTACAACTTCAATTTGCTGTACAAGCATTAACTAATGAATCCTTACAATCTCTTCCTCAAAGTGAATGAAATGTATTGTTCCTGTATGGCAGAGGGGGAAATGAAGACAAAGATAAATTAAGTGAGTTGTCTTAGGTCACAAAGGGAGCTAGCAACAGAAGAATGGGATTAGAACTCAGGAGTCCGTGTGCTCCTGTTCAAACCAATCCCTGCCTTTAGAGTGTTAGGGCAGACTCACCCTGAAGTATTACCATCTATCAAACCATACTAAGTAAAATAGGACTTGATGGAAATAACTACATAGGTTTGCGTACATGTGTGCTTTAATGCACCTTAGCCTATTTTAATGTGCATTAAACGTCACTTAAAAACTGTGCTATTTAGTTCATGTACATTAAGACAGGCTATTGCTCATTTTCCTCATATCTCACAATGGCGGTACTAGATTTAATGTGCATTAACTAAAGCGGGTTACTGCACGTATAGACATGCCCAATGGGTGCATCTACATGTATACTTTACTGTGTAGACTCATTAGCTCTGCAGTAAAGCATCACCATGTATATGTGCACGGTATTAGGGAGCAGTAAAATAATTCACTCCACCATAACGTAGTGCTGTTGGGGACAGTACTATCTTACAGCGGAATAATTAACTGTGCTGAGACACATGTGTAGATGCTCACCACAGGTGTAAATTGTGCACAGTCAGCCCAGCCAACCAGAGGCCTCCTCTGCCCTATATCAAATTGCTGCTATCCAAGGTGCACATGTAGATGCTGCACCTAGGAGCAATTTACTTCAGCTTGAAATGCTCCAGAGTTTATTATTTCACATTAATTGCATGTGTAGATGCATCTAATGCCTAAATGAATTGGTAAACTAATGGCATAACACCCCCACCTCCAAATGAGCAAAAACATCAATTTTTTATATAAAAATATTCCAATATAGTGTTGCCAAACAAATGACAGAATGTGCATTTAGAATAAGACAGCAAAAGGACAAGAATTAATCAAGGAAATAGCTAAAGACTATTCTCCAGAACCATATCACTACATGCTTATGGGACACACTAAACTCTTAGGGCCTTTGTACACACCAGGTTTTTTGCCCTTCCTTGTGCTGCAAATGTGTGACTGTTTGCACAAGCAGGTTTTCCAGATGCTTTAAAAGACTTTCTGGTGTATTAAATGAAAACTACTTGGATGTAGTTTAGTTTGGCTCCCCGGAAATTAAAGCATCGCGTTCATGGATTTGTTACGTGAGTGCAAATACAAAGGCACTCAAAGATGTGTAATGAGCCTCTTTGTCCACCAGAAGGCACTGCAACTTTTTTGTAGATCACCCCTTCAAATTGCTTTTGCTTTCAAATTGCTTCTGTTTTGGTTTGATTTTTTTCTTGTGTGGTTTTGCCAGCTCCCTGCTTCCCCTGCTGAATGGAAGGGCAGGGGCATGGGGTGGGTGGGGGGCCCCAGGCCTGGGGGGCAGTGCTGAACCATCCTGCTCTCCTGCAGTGCCAGCCAGGGACTGGGCTTAATTCATTCAAAAACCTAGTACATGCAGACACAGTTGTGACACTCCAGGGCTCAATTTGTTGAAAATCTAATACATGCAAACAAGATGCAGTGCTCCAAAATGAACAAGTTGAAATTTTATAAACCTGTTTAATTTAATGAAGATTAAAGCCCAAGAATCAGCAAGAATTCTTAGTAGATTGTTGACTTACATTATATTATATTTTGAATAGTTTAGTGCTTCCTAACATGTTATAAAATATACTGGACTTAATATTTTGGACATGATCTGATGCTACCTACCTAGTTTACACTCTTAAAGGAACTCGTGGAAATAGTTCTTGAAGAAAATCTATGAAGTTCATGGCTTTTGCTCTTTTAGCTGATCCAGGCAGTGAATAGGGCAGCTTACCACTGTAGAGACCAGCTGCTTCAGAGAGACATAAGCTTTCATAAGCAACAACCTGCTTCATCACATGCTAGGAATGGCTGAAGTAGGCTGTTGCCTATATGAGTTCATGACCCTCTGAACCAGCCAGTCTTCACAGTGATACTCTTTTCTATCTTCTGCCTGGCTTCAAGCTAGCACAACTAACTAACCCTTTGAAGGACTGTGAACAACTTTGAGACTATTTTATTCTATGGCACTTTGTTTGCTTCTATGCATGCAATAATATTTCAGCTAGTCAGGAAAGGTCTGTATTAGCTTCCCCAGCTAACCCCAGCTGTTCCTACTAGGATCCATGTGCAAACAGTAGAAACATAACTTCAGTAGGAACACAGATACAAGTAAAATTAGGTTCAATGTGGTCTGTTATAGTGTTCCTTAGTGAGTGAGAACTATGAAACTTAAGACAGTCTCCAGCAACCAAGGGAATTTAGACAGAATTACTGGTTTGAGTGGTAAAGAGATTGAAGGTCCAATATGAAGTAGTACATTCTGGATTAAAATTTCCTTCCCAGCACATAAAAGAAATATAAACTACAAGTTTAAGTGTAGTCCTGTCAAAGGTAAATTAAACTCTAAAGAAATATAAACTTTTAACATATTTATTTGGTGTATTATATTTGGTTTGCCAACAGATGGCCACTTAAACATATTTTTATAATGTTTACAGGAAGAAATAAAAGTAAATACATTTTGGGAAAAATCAGAGCCTTCTTTGTGATTAAAGTATAAATATGGAGAGATGCCAGCAAAAGCAGCATAAACTTTGAAAATCTATCACACATTTATACTGACAAGATATTGAAAAATAATCATAAACTCAAATAGAGCGTATGGCCTGGTTTTTAAAAATTGCAAGTCTGAGACAAACTGCTTCATAAGGGCATCTTAGAAGATTAATAATAAAAATTGCAAAAATTTATATGACGTGAGAGAATGCATCTTTTGCAAAAAAGGAAAACTTTAATGCATCTGTGCATGGTATGTGATATCATGTGAGGTAAATGCTATATGTTTACATGGTAGAGAAGTAACATAGCTGTCTAAGACATCCTTGGGCCAGACTCTGAGCTGATTTTCATTGATGTAAATCAGAAGGAACTGTTCTGGTTTCAGTAGTGGTTCTGTTTTAAGGGGGTGGGGGGACAAATGAGATGGGAATCTGGCTTTACTACTGTTATCTTTCTATAAGTTATGCATTTATTTTATAAAATGTTCATGCCATTGCTTGAAAATAAAAAAGTTCAGTAGTGTTACTGATAGAGGGACCAGAGCAGCAGTCCTGAGCACTGCCTTTGTTGAGGGGGGTGCAACAACAGCTACAACTGCAGCAGCAGCTGATCATACCACTACAGTGGGCACCACAGTCACCAGCACTGCCCAGGGCAGAGCTGCCCACCTACACCTCTGAAAAAGAGATGAGTTTTTTAATGAGCATTTCTACTTAGCTCTTATTTGACAATCTATTTTAAGTATATAAGGGCACCACTCATTGCTGGCATAAATTGATCTAATTCAGCTGAACTGCCCCACTTCCACCCCTGCACTGAATATGGCTGATATTATACCAGAGAAAAAATGAACACTGTTTTTTTTTCTCTTATCCAAGTACACTAATACTTATATTGGAATATCTCTCTTTTATTTTCTCCCTTGTGTGGGGATCAGAGGGAAGAGATTCTTTCATACCATAGCTTTAGGCCTTCTTTGTAACTGTTTTTCTTGCTAAAGCACCAGAGCTGCCTCTCGTATCCTATTTTTACTGTGGCTTGTGATTCTGCAGACATTGACATGTGTCACCTGTGATACAGCTACATTTGTCAGCTCTCTGTGCTCAACGGGGAGGAATCGATCCTCCATTTTCATTAGGTGGTAGGAGTAGACTATTGGCATAAAAAATACTAAAAAATATATATGTATAACTATCAGAGCTTTCTGCCTGGAGACCCAGACTACTGTTCAGTGGTCATTTAAATTATTGAATGGCACTAAAGTAAAAGCCATTTCCCTTTTTTGTCTCCTTTGCCCAAATAATTCAGCTGAAATGCGAGTTGATTTCATTTTCTTTTTATCCACTCAGCTTGTTAGAAAGAATATTTTAGTTCAGATTCCATTTTTCGAAGTTCTACTCACACCCAGCATGAAGCATTGCTGTCATGTCCTTATCTTTAAAAAAAGAGAGAGAGAGAGATGGAAAAGAAAACAAAGCCCACGGGTGACATACGTTTTATTGAGGTGTTCCACATGAAGTGCAATTGTATGCTTTACGACGCGCACAGCACGGCAGGAGTCTTCAAGAGGAAGAGAGCCTTATCAAATGAATACAGATTCACATTTCAAATAGGCTAGATAGGAAGCTCTCAGGCTTTAGTACAGCATAGACTACATTATAATAGAGATGATCTTATTGACCAGCTCCTCATTTGTGGGCAGTGGCAACCTTCTCCTATAACCATATTCCAGCTATTCTAGTGATTGTTCACATATGAAAAAAAAAAACTTTAAGGGACTTTAAGGTAATTTTAGCTGCATTTTTAATGCTATTAGTACTTGGAAATTAGCTGCTAATTAGCTCATTGCTACTAGCAATTAAATGTGGGAAACAAACAGTTTCCCATCCAGCAAAAACTGTCAAGATTTTCTGATCACGAGAAAAAAAACAAAATAGTTCATATTTTTTCAGGATAATTTTTTTTAAATGCCCAGAAAAAGTAGCCTAATAGTTAGGGCATTCAATCTTTAGAGGGGTATGTGGAATTTCATCTCATAATACTAGTACCAGGCCCAAGTGTTCTTAACTACCACAAGTCGCTACCCCACACCTAAGCGAATTCAATGAAACACAGAGAACTGAACATTTCCACTTAAGCTCTGGGCAATTCCTTGGAAAAGCAGTGAACTTAAGACAATGCAGTTACACTCAGTTTGAGACACATTACTCCTCTGATAGTAATCTTCAGGGACGCCACACCAAAAACAACATTTTATTATCAACATTTTCTGGAGCTGTTAATTATAAAATTTAGAAAATAAAAGGATTTTCTGCAGGGAGGACATCCAGATATTTAGTCTCCTCTAGACTGTTTAAAATTTTTTAAATCATCTGTTTAAATAACAAGGTCAATATTTCCAAATATAGGAGCCAAAGGGTTAAGCTGTTACATCCATAATAGGGCATCTCAATAAGTATCCTGATTCTTCAAGGTGTATGCCAAAACCTGTTGATTTAGATGGTTTTTGCTGTCACTCGACACCTCTGAAAATCAAGTAAAAATATTTAAAAATCTAAAGTTGATGTGCCTGCATTTAGACACCCATGTTTGAAAATGTTGGCCTAAATTTTAATTCAGCTTTGTGGGGCTTGCAGATCCCACTAGCAGGATGGATGCTTAAAAATATCTATGAAGCAACTTGCAAGGTGGGTTATTTGTTGCTAAGTACATGCCGCAAGATATAATTCAGATCTTTTCCTCAGAAGTGCTTATCAATACAACAGCCCCCTAATGTTTATTCTGCAGATCTAAGACATATGCTGTTACAAGAAATGTTGAAGATTTAGCTGCCATTAAAATGACTCCAGTTCTTCTACCTGAGGCAGTGCCTAACATAATGAAGATGTCCTTCGATTCAGATTCAGCATCAGAGGAGGCTGATAAAATAAGGGTAACTCATCCTGGGGTTTGATTATTTCTTTTGTTTTGTTTTTTATGTTGTTTAGTTTAGTTTAGTTTTGATCAGTGTAAGTCTGTCTGCTTTATCCATAGGAGAATTTGTATGAATGATTTCTGACTGGTGTTGTTTCTTTCAAAATCAGTCAAGTTCAACCTGGGGGCAAAAATAATCCCATAGTAACATTAAAAAAACACTGGAATTTAATCACTGCATCAGGCTAAAATAATTGTTTTCAGAAACTATCCCATTCTCTTTAGTAATTAATTTTATAGTGCCATCTACAGGATAGGCTCACAGCCTTATAAAAAGCATTGTAACTATTGCTATAGCCTTCCCATTTAATTCTCCGTACATTACCAAGAGAGTTACAAAATATTCAATCAGGCTATTGGAATATTCAACTAGTAGAACTGAGATTTAATATTAAGAGAAATAGAGCATTACTAATCCAGGGATGAAAGTCATATTTTCTGTTGAGGTAAATGACAGACTGTAATGACATTTTAGGGCACAGTTTTCAGCCAGGGCCAGATTTGGGGTTCCCATTAACATCCTTTAAATTACATTTCTGTAGCACAAAACAGACACTGGTTCTATGCAGGATTTCCCCAGTGAAGGAGCAATATGATACAGCCCTATACCATTTCCCTTACAGCCACCTGCAATAAGGATATGCTGGGAGTAGATTTTTAGATGGGATGGAGGACAACTGGGGAGTGGTTGTGGTTCTTTGCCTCACAGAAGCCGATAGAAAACAGGGGAGGCAGCTACGTGAGTGCAGCCTCTGGGACTCGGGAATGCACAAATTTCTCCCAGGTTGCGCCTCAGTGCTGCACCTACTGAGAAGTGAAGCTGTGAATCAGTTTCTAACTCATGAGTTGGTGCTAAATGAACATCAATTCACTAATGAAACTAATTTGAACAATTCCCAGCTTAGTAAGAATTTGCCTAGGCAAAAAGTTACTATTAAAACTTCTTGTCTGAGTATGTCTCAGGTGGCTCAGGCATTTTGTGGGGCAGTACACAAAAATGTGCCGTACAGAAAAAAATTACACACTCCTGAAAAAAAATAAAATTAGCTGTAAAAGCTTTTCCTACATGTAAAAAGGCATCATACCCCTGGGTGGTAGAAACTCATAGTTTGCCTCTAGCTGTTTGCTTCATTGCTCAGGGAAAACATACATCTCATTTCATGGCTTTAGTTCCAACTTTAATTAATTGTAATTAATTGCAAGTCCTTTGTGACCCATTGTTGCTACATATGGGGTGTTTGTGGGCAGCAGTTTCTAGTATCATATACTCTGACTATCTTTGAGATCTCTGTGGCTTTCTCAGCTACTAAATCCTGCAGTCCATACTAGGCCTTATTCAGACAGAAGTCCTATTGCTGTGAGTAAAGATCCAAAAATTTGGCTTGATATGTTTGTTGAAAGATGAAATTCCAGACCATGGATTTTTCTTCTCTTTAGAGAAAATAACATGCCTAGGGTTACCAAGATGCTGGAATTCAGGGGACACAGCTTGAGTCACTGTGGTGAAAAAAAGCAAAAGAAAATAATTGGCATTATTTCGTGAATGACTTTTCCTGTCTTTAATCCTGATTCCTTTCCCCCCTTTATTTTAGAACGATCCCCTAAACAAGCCACTCAGCCCAGCTTATCCAGCTGACAAAAAGTGTTGTTCCATAGCAGGATCTTAGAGTTTCATGAAATCAATTAATTTCCTCTACAAAATGTATAGGAATACACTGCTAAAGCAGGAACTTTTAATAAGTGGATAGGTTTTTTATTGTTACTGAATCTAACATTGACATGTGCTTATCACCTAATAGGACAGACCATCTTCGGAAATCATTTCACAAGAGCACCCTTCTACAGTTGAACAATCACCTCACAAGAAAAACCCAGCTGTTCATTTAATGTGTTTCAATGCAACTACATTTGGATTTGGAATTTGCCTTGAAAGGAAAAGCATACATGCTGCATTTCTCAAAAATGCCCCTCTCTATTATCTGGTTGGGGAGCATACTGTTAAGCTGACCTTCATATCAGGTAAATACTATCTTGGATCAGGTGATAAAGTGAAATTAATAGATATTCATCTGTCTTAAATATTAATATAATATCTGATCATCCCACAATATTTAATACTTTTTATCTTCACACATCCCTGACAAGGAAAGGATGTGTTTCTATATGTCTACCCTGAGGCCCAGATCCTCAAAAGGTATTTAAGGATTCAAGGAAATCTGTAGCAGAGTAGATTGTTGAATCTAAACCTCCTAAATCCTAGGCTAACAGCTCAACTATGTGGCCATCTTTTAAATGTCAACAGTAACTTCTCTGACTACTTGACTAACATATACACATGCAGAAGGCAGGATAGAGTGGCACCTACATTGCCTTCTACTTTCCTTCAAACTAGCATAGCTAACTCCCTTTCTCAAAGTTTACACAGCATTAGTGTCAATTTGTCAAGAACAATTACATCAAACAATGCCTAATCTTCTGATCAGATCTGTTACCCAGTAAGGTACTACTGATAAGCTCTGGCCTGTCAGGCAATTCTTTCCACACAGTTTGAGCTACCTATACTTTTTATTCACTTTAATTGATGCAACATCATGCTTAACATGATGAACAGTGTTTGTCATTCACTTGTAAACTTTCATATATTTGCATGGTGTATTAACAAAGTTACCAACTACTGAAAATGAGAATGTTGTAACTATATTTGCATTTAACAAAACAATGTGCTTTGCTGCCCTGTTTTGAGGTGGTGTATTTTTTTCATGCTACTCCTAATTGAAGAATAAAACTGCTGATAGTAATTTCCACATAATTCCAGTCCCTACAGATGTGCCAATTGAGAAAATACAAATCACCATTCAGGCAGGTGATGATGCTGCTCGGAAAATGGTACGTTTAGTGACCTTTGTAGATGAAGGAAGAGAACTAAGCAGAGAAGCAGCTGAAAAAGTGAAGAAAATCCTTGATGATCCTTCTGATGAGACTCAGGTATTTACATTGTTCTGGACTCGTGGGCAAAAATGTAAGCCTATGTCATACACTTTTATTATTTACAAGGTAATCTCAGTGCTTTAGATAGTGGGGAAAATGAAATCATGCAGAATTAACGTTTATCAGGCGTGATTAGTCGCGCTATGACTTCTGCATATGCTGTACTCAACATATTATTTTTGGGTACTGCTGGAACTGGATTTATGACCCAGGTACCTTGTTCCAGGCAGACCCAAACCATCAGACCAACCACAACCTCTCCATTTCATAATAGGCAAATTTCATTGATACACAGTGATAGCAGATAACAATAATGCAGGCAAGGCAAACAAAATAACCCCAACTCCGCAAGTCTAAATCTACCATTCCTAGAGCTGTCAGAGGGAAGGTATGTCTGGCCAGTACATGAGCTTCACCCTGAAGTTCTCTCTTGAATGTCAGATGTCAGCAGCCTGGAGATTGAGCACCGAGCCCCAACCCTTACACCCCACCCTCAGTGGGGTTGGTGAGACAGGCTGGTCATGTGCCCTCTGTCCATGATGGCATCAGCTTCCCCTCAAAAGGACTCTTTGCTGCTCTGAAATCCCTCCTTTTGTATTCTTTCTCCCTTTTGATGACTCTTCATCTCTAGGCATCATTGATTGGTCTCCCTGTGGGCATCATACTGTCCACCTTCTGTCCTGTCAGTATATTCCTTTGTTCCAACAAACCCATCACATTCACAAATCTTAATTTGGTTATTTATCGGGCCTCCTAATTTGGCCTGTTTACCAACACCAGAAATCCCAAGGGCCCTGCAGTTGGGCATTGTGACCTGGTTCCAATGCTGCAGAGTCCCTTATCTCTGTTTGGGTACACTGTTCATGGTATGGAATAATGTGGTACATGTCTTTAATTTCCTGGCCTGTGTGTCTGTTGGCTTCAGACACAGTGAGCCTTGAAGGAAACTTTGTCACAAACGGCTTTTAGAAACCAGTTGACCCTTGCCATTCTTCTGGACCATTGTTCTAATGCATATCTACTTTACCTACAAGTCAGTTCCTAAAAGCAAACCTCTAAATACCATTTTCTAGCCATCCAGTACCATTCCATGTGGACATTAGTAAATATTTTAGAAGGTATCACAGGCTAGGTACAGACATTCACAAACACAAGGTGGAATCAATCTAAAGGTGCAGAAAGAAGTATAGCTCCTGGGTCTAATTCATGGCACTCCACAGAAAGCTCAGAAAGATTCACAGAAGGCTCCATAGACCAATCCTCCTAAACCAACAGATGTTAGCTGTTAGGTCAGAAGGGTGGGGCATCAAGCTTCAATTTGGAGCCAATCCAGGGAGAGAGGCTGCATCTCTACAGCCTCTTCCCCTAGCTCTGCCCCTCCCCATCCCCCTAGCTCCCGTTCTGTCTCAGGATGGGAGGGAGAGAAAGCAGAGGAGGGAGGTCCATTCTGGAGTTTCCCTAGCCATGCTGGAGTGGGGGAGGGGCATGGTTTGGAGCCCCCCACCTCAAAGGGCTCCAATCCACCATCCCCACCTTCCAGCACTGGCTGGGAAACCCTCAGACTGAGCTCCCTCCATTCCCTCATCCTCCTCCCATTCTGAAAACAGTGCCAGGATGCAGGATGCAGGATGCAGGCTGGCATGCATCATCTTAGCCCTGCTCTCAGTGCTCACAGACAGAAGTTAATGAAGGTGCTCTGGTTTGGAGTGCTTTCATCTGTGTCACACTAGGTTGAAAATGCCCAGTTGTGGCTAGGTCGGTGGGCTGGACACCAATGAGGACGCAGTTTATGATTAATATGT